AGCACACAGCAAAAAAGATAGCTATCCTCCCACACAGCAGTGCCTGGCAACTAGCAAGCGGTGTGGTCCTGGCCAAATCACTTACCCTCTCTCTGCGAGAGTGTTTATGAAAGCGGAGAACTGATTGGCTAGATCTCTGCGGATGTCACCATGGCCGTCAGCCACCTGTGGTCAATAGAAAGTCTGCTCTGGACCAGAATGGGTGCTGGGTAGATAGGGAGCGTATCAAGCAGCCACCGACTGCGAGTGGGAAAGACAGACACATCAATAAGTCCTCTCAATGCGCTGTGATTAACCACTGCCATAAAATTAAAAGCACAGGAAACCGGAGAGAGTCCTAAGTGAAGGGCCTGTCTGGGGGATTCCGGAAAGACCTTCAGAGGAGAAGGTTGACTATAGTCTTGAAGGAGTATGAGATGCTTCTGAGACAACTAAAAGGCACGAGCAGAGACCCAGTAGGGTGAACATAGATGGGACACATAGGGAAAGGTTTAACTGAGGGAACGTGAAGAGAGCATGGGACTTCCAGGGGGCAATGGGATTAGGCCAAAAAGGGTCTCCATGGCCTGCAAAGAATGGACACAGACCAGAATCAATAACAGGGGCCTACTGGGTCCCTAATATACAGCATCAGCACCATCAGAGCTGGGCAACGGGCAGAGCGATGGGGGACTGGACTCTGTCGATCTCAGCACAAATCTCAGGTGCTCACGGCTGCCTGTAACTTTAATTCCGAGAGCTCCCACATCCTGTCTGGCCTACTGGGCACCCATAAGGATGTGTACATGTGCACACACAGACACACAATAATTTTAAAGTATTCTAAAATTAAATCAAGAAGTGAGTATATAGGATGGGACTCCCACCCTAGAGCAAGAACAACAAAACAGCACCAAGACTCTCCTGTGATCCATTGATGATGTCATAGACTCTTCCCCAATGGGTCATAGTTTTAATAGTTTTTTTTTAAAAAAAAAAAAACAGTGGCATAAATATCATGGCACATTAAATCAGAAATGCCAGCACAGCTAATGAAGCACAACCTTATCTGGAAATCCAGATTCAAGACAGCCTGGGTACATTTTATTTCTGGGTTTCACTATTCCCAATCACACAGGCATTTCCAGCAAAGTCTAAGACATCAGTAAGGCCTGTGAGGAAAGGGATGATAGACACCACGGTCGGTGCCATCTGTCACCTCTCCCCTAGTCATCTACAGGGCGTCCCAGGCCTCACACGCCTCTTTCAGAATTTGTATACCCAATCCTATCCGCTCTGATTCTCTGCGTGGAACGCACAGCAGCTCCTGGCTGTGTCTAAAGATCTCCCAACCAACACACGAACCCTGCAGCTTCTTGTCCTTTGTCTGCCCCTTTCCCAGCCTCCACACTCAGGCTTCCCTCGGCACCCATGGGACCTTCAGCTTTTCTCCATGCATGGTTCTCTTCTGAAGAGTCAAAGAAAAGAAATGCCAGCAGGTTCACCATCCCTTCAAGACCACGGCTAGCTACTGTTGTTGACTGAACTCTTGTGAAGAAAACAGGATGAGAAGTTAACAGGTGGAGGGGCTGCGGTCAAGAGAGACGGGCTGAGTACTGTATGCTAAAGTCTAGTCTCTGAAAATCCAAGCGCACACAAGCTCTGCCCCACAGGCTCCCGGGAGACTCTTCCTGTCCCCATGCCCCATCTGCTCCACTATTCTCCGCATTGGCTCCTTTCTCCCTTGTGTGACTCAGGCCCTAGACCCATGGAAACCACACTGGCAAGAGTCCACAGTGACCATACCTCTTCAAGTGTCTTCGCATGCCTCAGAGACCAAAGGCTCCCACAATTAAATTTTCACAAGTGTGGGCCTGCCAACTGGCCACTAAAATGCTAGCCTGACTCAGCAGCTCCATTTCCCTTCCACGGTTCAGGATGCAGAAGGGAAAACATCTTTAGATTATATCTCATTGTTGTTCTCCCCCTTGGTCCTGCTGGGCTGTATGCAAGATCTCCATGATGCTTTTTTTTATCCAGTTAACAAGGCAGCTTTGGGGTTGAGGACTCCAAAGAAAACATAAACATATCCTTGAGGGGGCAGGCATGCTTCTGTGTCTAAAAATGCACTTGGCCATGTATGTGTGTGTGTAGAGGCCAGAGGTCAATGGGTAGCTTCCTACTGCTCTGCACATTATTCTTTTGAGACAGGGTCTCTCACTGAAGCTGAAGTCTGGCTAGCCATAGAATTTCCTTGATCTGCCTGCCTCAGCCTCCCCTCCTCGATGCTGAGATCGTGGATGTGTATACATCACCAGCTCAGCCTCTCCTCCTCGATGCTGAGATCATGGATGTGTATACATCACCAGCTCAGCCGCCCCTCCTCGATGCTGAGGTCATGGATGTGTATACATCATCAGCTCCAGCTTTGGCGTGGTGCTGAGGATCCACACACTTCTCCATGCTCCTTCACGAAGCACGGAACTCACTGAGCAATCCTCACGACAAGGCTTTCAAACGCTTCTTAGTCCATGGGAGGATTTAGCTCACACTTACATGTGGATAAACACACTCTTCACACCAGACAGAATAACCCAAACATGGGATCCCCGATGGTTACTACCTCGGTAGGACTCAGAGAGCCAGCCGTCCTGACACGCCCAACACAGAACATCTCTGCAAACTCAGACTCCAGCTGTGAAAAGCTACATTCATCATTGTGCTTCTCCAGCCTCCATCTGACAGAGGCCATACTGCCTAATGTGCTGTATTCAATGACTCCAAACCCCTCAAGGCTCCATTTGGACTTACTATACCTACTTAAGGAACACAGTCACTGTCAAAGGTCAAAGCTCTCTGGGGCTAGAACCTAAGTCCAATGCCCTCGAGATACCAAATGCAAGCTCTAAGCAGAGCCTTCCAGCTTCTGCTTAATTCATTATGACTTTTAGGTACTCGACAGGATGGATCTCACACACTCAGGATCCTGTTTGCTGTGAAAACAGACCTGACTGAGGTTGCTTAGCCGGTAAATGAGTAAGGGAAACTTGATCAATACAGAAAAATTTTCTGGTACTCGTTAAGGGAATTTAGACAACAACGGCCTTGCTGTTCCAAGGGTGGTACAGGAGTGCAGGGGCAGGGGAGAGATTCTGGATTCAGCTCCGTCTTCCTTCAGTATTGCAGACTGGAGAACTGGAGGTCACTTACTCCAATTGCCTCAGTATACCAAGATGAAAGACACAGTATGGGACAGGAGTCCGTACAAAGCTCCATGCATAGCTCACTTAATTTAAAATCAAAATAGCCCTTATTTATGGGATGGGTCATACCCTTCCAGCCATCAGTGGGAAGTAATGTTCTCATGGCAGGAAGCAGGTAAGAGGTACCTGATCAGTTACACCCCGTCTCAGCTCCACCACAACTGCTTCCTTAAAAGCACACTGTCCGTGCAATTCTCTCTCACACTACTTAAGACACTATCTTTGTAGGACAGAGAAAACAATCAGGATTTACAGAAAATCACCAGAAAATTCAAGAGAACACCAAGGTCTCGGAAACCAAAACCAACTTGTAGCCTCATATCTTACCCCCCCCCCCCACACACACACGGTGGGAGGAGAGAGGGAGAGAGATTTAAACCAAAAGACCAAATAGAAAATCATGTGTATAAGTGCATCTCAAGCTTCCTGTTTTCGTGAACGACCTATCCAGGCAGATCTTGCTAAAATTCAGATTCTGATTCAGTTGTTCGGATGGATTCTAACTTCCACATGAAGGAGGCCAGGCTGTGCCAACACTGGGGTAGATGAAAAAGAAAAACCATCTTACAATAAAACAAATAGGTTTTGAATTTCCTTACATTTATGAACTTTGTGATTGCATGCCAGTTTCCCACCCATCCCTATACCTCAACCTGCTCATCTACAGACCGGAAATAACACCCAGAATGCACGTGATGGCGTGAGTTAGTGACGAGGGTCTCCTGACCCAGTGCTTGGCACATAGCAAGGCTCAGTAAATGTTGGCAGCTGCCTCTACGATTCACAAGGACCAGGATGATAGCTGGCTCACTGCCAAAACCACAGCAGCGAGAACACAGTAACGGTCCAGCGGATATTTGGCCAATGAGTGCACATCCAAACACACAATAGCAATAACTACATACTGCCCTCATTCCGAGTCTTTCTACATAAAAGCCTAAGGCGTCTAAAACACCAAGAGATTTTTACCAACAGAATCACAGAATCAGATTCAACACTAACCATCGTGTTTAATCAGCAAGACATGTGTAATTTGCGGTGGTTATACATATTTGAGAAATGTCTTAACTGTAAATAAGTAAAGACAGCACCAGCCTGGGATCTGTATTTCATTAACAGAAATCACTGCCTTCCCTATTATACGTGGGCTGTCTCAATACAGATGTTATGAAAAAAAAAAAAACCACCTTAATTCACAAACTTCAGTTCACTTCCAAACCAAATTCAGAACTGCAAAGAAAGTCCTAACAAGCCAAGGGTAACAAGGCTAAATTTTAAAGGGCCACACTGGGCAGAGCTATAGTCTCACCTATGCATGCTCAGGACAAACAAGAAAGAGAAGACATATGAACAAATGGCAGAATGTTAGCTTTCAAATCAATGTTAGGTTCGTCTACCTACAGTTCCTCAACAGTTTACAGCCATCTCCACTGCGGGCAAATCCCACCCCACAGAGACACCCTGTAAGGTACGCAGCGGGAAGAATGCAACTGCCACCTATGGACAGAAGCAGTCGGCCAATCACTCTCAGTCACCTCCCTCGGCTCTCCCAAACCACCATACCACATAACTTCATTGAGAACCACTCTCCGGTCATAGGAGCACTGCTAAGCATTCCATCTCTTCATCATCTCTCTACCTCTGCTTTCCCAGAAATGGTCCCTCATCCTCTACAGGGCGTGAGCGCTGAAGACGAGGCAAGCCAGCAGACTCAAGCAGGCAAAGGCACTGCAGAGAAGTATCTATCAATCAGCTTACCTGATATGAACGGGACTGCCCGGAATATATCTGACAACCTGCTGTTAACCGGCTCATATGGGGAATCTTCCAGGAGATCATTTCCTAGAAATGACAGGAAGATTAGGCTCAGCTCTGGAAAACGGGCATATTTCAAACCATGCCTCACTGCTCGGTGGGAACCCCTAATCATGTTATGACTGTGTACCGAGAAAACGCTGACAGACTTCACATGCATGTTTGGGGGTGTGATTATTTCTTTTTCTCTCTCTTTGTTGTCCTTGCTCTCTCCAGAGTGCCTTGGAAATACTGGAGCACAACGCAGCCCGAGCTTGCCAGAAAACTCTCCCACTCTTGCAAAGGAATTGAAATCTGAGAGGAAGGAGCTAGTGACGTCACAAACTTTGCTTGCCTGCAGGAACCAATGGAAGAAGGACCACCGGGAGAGGCCCCTACTTCTGTTAGCTCCCTGCAAACCAAGGCATGTGGCCTGCAAGCAGGCATGCTAGCTGTTCCTAAGATCATCCCCAGAAACAGGCTTTCATGACTAGGTTTTAGAAGTGGCAGCTGACAGTCTAAGCCTCTGCATTAGAAATGTTCAGGGAGTCTCAGGGAAGAATGAAGGTACAGGGATCCCTAAGTCCCACTGGAATGGGCAGTTGTGGCTGCTACTCGTGAACCAGCCATGGTTAAACCTCAGCAGCTGGTCCAAAACTCAGCTAATCTAAGATGACAAATGGTTTTTCACGCATGTGTTTCAACCTGTGTGCGGGGGTGAAGACAGAGTTCGCAGGTTCTGCAATACTTCATCTCATGTCATAAGGGAAGAAAGGAGGGAAATCTCCAGGCAAAATGCAGGCAAAGCTTTTGCATGATTACTCTCTAAAGCCAGTGAAAACCCCGGGGCTGGCAGAGAAGTGGGTTCCTTAGGTAGCGTTTACGGGGGTCCCCAATCTGATGTTCTAACTAGGTTTCAGAAAGGTCACTGGGATCCCAAGGGTGCTCCCACCCCCTTGTGGATCTGCCAACAAGACTGCTCAGCTGCAGGAAACACCAGCTGCCGCTGTCCCTAGAGGCCAATGAAAGGTCCTCGCTCCGCAGCTGGGAGAAGAGAGTGGGAAATGAGATCAGCCGGCTTAACCCCAGGACTGGGTGGACTGAGGTTGCCCCGCGAGTTTGGAGAGGAACCGGGGAGTGCTGGTAAGGGCAGCTGATGCGTACCCTGCAGACTCTGGTACATGCTCCAGTAGATACGCAGGCAGTTTTTCTCTTTCTTCATGCCCCGCTTGCAGCGGCAGTTGTAGAGAGACTTTTGCTTCAGGGCCTCCATGGCGTTGCGACACTCATCTTTGGCCTCCAGACCGGATGCCAGGCTGAAGTTGGTCTCCTTGCCCGCCACACACTGCCTTAGCGTGCGGTACTTGGTGCTGCAGGTCTGTTCCTTCAGGCACTGATCGCTGGCTTTTACGCAGTCCAGGCGGTCCCCACCACTCACCTCGGCCGACAGCAGCAAATCTACAGGGTGAATGAGAAGAACGCTTGAGTACAGCAGACTAGTTGGGGACCCCGATTCCAGGTCGCAGGAGGGGTGGGAGATGGAGCGCACGCCTGGGGCATGATAGCTCCACCGTCATTGTGAGGGGCAAACTCGGTAGGAAGCTGGGCTACCCCTCTTCTGGGAGACCAGATTTCCCCACCCCTGGAAATGCTGCCATCATGCTCCCTCCCTGGCCTGCCATGGAAGGTAGTAATTGCTTCCATTGGCCACTTTGTCGGATTTGCTGAGGATCCTGCGAGGCCCCAGCGCCCCAAAGCAGAAGCGGTCCTGAAACGCTGACTGCCCCGCCTCCCCGGGCACCTGGGGCTGCAGTCTCTGGGCCAGCCAGTCCGCAGCAGCCTAAGGGCCCTCCGCTGAAAGCGTGGTAGAGCGCTTGGCACCGTCGCGAGCTGGGCGAAAGGCGGGCGAGTGGCACAGTCTGCCCCGCGGGTGCGCCGAGACATTATTCCCAAAAAACTTTTGCATTCCAAGTTTGCTCTCTTCCCACCCCAGCGTTTTTCCGACCACACTCCACCTGCCGGAGCGCCTTGGCGAGCTCTTCCCGACTTCCAAGGGGACCAACGCACCGGGGTGAAGGTCTAGAACCCATCAGATGCCCATCGGGCTGGGTTATTATTAACACAGCAAAATAAAACCAGCCGCACAGAGCTGCGCTGCCGCCGCTCCCCAAACCCAGGAACGCTTGAACCTCTTCACATCCCAACGAAACTTCTCCCACCCAAATCCAAGGTACCCACGGCGCAATTCTCGAGTGGCCGCTGCAAGGGACCCTCTTTGAAAGACTCTGGGTAAAAAAAAAAGCCAGCAGCGGCCTCGACTTACCCAGGAGTGGCAGCGCGAAGTACAGAGTGGCCAGAAACATGGTGCCGGCGCGAAGCTGGTCCCCGCCCCCCAAAATCCAAAGCCGCCGCCGCTGGGTCTCGAGGGGAGAGCTCAGCGTGCAGCGATCCCCGGGCGACCGCGCTTCTCTGGCCACTCAAAGTTCAGCTCCATCCAGGGTGAGAGGAAACTCCCCGTTGCTCTGCCGCCCACCGCCTCCAGCAACTCAGCTCCGGGCGGGCGCGAGGGCGGGAGGCGGACCCGCTTTTAGGGGTTCAGTTCCGACCCAACCTGGAAGGGAGAGAGCGCTTTGAAATGAGAGCCCAGAGTGCTCCCACCTCTATCCCCTCCCCCATTCCCGCCTTGGGGGACTTCTCAACGCTACCCCCCACTCGGTCCGAGATCATCTATTCCGAGCGTGAGGAGACTCCGGAACCGGCGGTTTGGAGCTGGAGAGGTTCGCTAGGGCTCCCAGCGTCCAAAGCCGGAGGCTATCCCGCACAACCCAAGAGACTGAACGCAAGCAAATAAATAAGCATTACTTTCCGAGCAAGCGCCGGAAGCAAGCTGGCGCTGCCCGGAGTCGGAGCCTCGGCGGCGAAGGCGCCTTAGCCAACCCCGGCTGGACCAAGACCCTGCTCCGGGAAGTTGGCCGCCTTTCCTGGCTCCCGCCCGACCACTCGCTGACTCGATCGTGAGCGTTCAAGCTCCTCTTCCTCTGGCCCTCTGCATCCCGGCCACCAATCGCCACCTCTCTCGCCAAGACTCCCTCCCCCGGGCTAGCTTCTTTTCTCAGGCAGTCCCGCAGAAAGAAACTGACATCCTGACTGGAGCTGAAATCCGGCTTCTGTGCCCCTACCCGCCACGCATCCTGGGCTCCTTCCCAGACATCCGTGCCTCGCACGCTCTTGCCCAGCGCCCGAACTCCTGCGCATCCACACCACTGCCCCGGGAGAGAGATCTAGCCCGCAGCATCTGCACGCCCCAGCAGGTGCAGCCCCGCACCACTAGCGCCCCCCTGGCCCCAAAGTTGAAGGATGCCAGCAAAATGGAAAGGGGTGGCTAGAACTGAAGAGGAGGTGGCAATGGGCTCTTAAGTGGAGTGAAAAAACTCTAAATGTCACCAACCTGGACTGAACCGACCCGCGTCCAGCTGCGGCGAACAGCCAGTGTTTATTTATTCTTTGGGGGTCACCCGCCCCCTCTTTCCTTTTCCGGGCTCAATTTCTTGCGCTAGGGGGAAAAGGGGATGCCATAATCCGCTACAGCTAGGAGGATAGAGTTGGCCAGGACGATTTCCGAGCAGACCACCCCACCCCACCCCCGCCCTGCCCAGGCTCAATGCCCGGTAGGGATGTCAGCGGTTATTGGAAGCTGCGGGAGGGTAGCGTGCCCAGATTGGTTTTGGCCAACGGACCCTCAGCCTGCTTCTGCTCCCGGCAGCGCAGAGCCAGCTTCTTCGTGGAGCGCAGCTCCTCTATCAGCCACAGTAGACTTACAAGCTGACCAGCAGTGAGACCCAAAGCCAACAAGCACACAGGCTTAGGACCCGCAGCGCTACGCAGCAGCCGCCGCTGAGACTGCACCCTCCTCCCACCCCTCGCGTCCTTTCAGTGTACAAGGGCTCTTTCTTTAGTGCAAAACAGCAATCCATCCAGACCCTTTTGAACACAAAGTTGTTTTTTTTTTTCTCCACGTCATTCGCGGCTGTGACTCAAGACTTGGCAAGGTACAGACTCACTCAGACCTAAGCCCTAAACAGCGGTCTCGAAATGCACCCACCGTCGATCCACGCCATTGTGAGCTTACACACCTCTCTCCCCCCAGCTCGGACGGCGAGACAAAGCAAAGCCCCCAGACCACTGCACTAGAGGCTGGGCAGACCCAGCTTTAGGTAATTTATAAGGTGACCTCCATCTTGACTGTTTCCAGAGTAAATTACTTTTCAAAAGCATTATTAAAGCAGAACACATCCATAGTTCCCAACCCCAACTTCAAGAGTCTCTCCAGAGATACAGCTGAAGTGATACCCGCTGTGGCTTAGGGTTCCAGCGATCTGTCTAGAGTAGAGTACAATCCGCAGTGGTGGGTGACCGACCAGCTTGCTGCTCTGGGCTTGTATTGGAGATCTTTTCTGTGTCCAAGTTCATCTCTCAGCAAAACCGAGTTTGAATCAAATCTATGAGCCCAGCTGTCAGATCTGCAAATCCATCACCACAGACAATGGGCCGCCAAGGAGGACAGAAAAGAAACGCTGTTTTTGATCCAGGGGGTTAATTGAAAAGGGCACAGTCTTTAGTTTAAGTTTGAGACGGGTGTAAGGGCAGGGAAAAGAGGAGGAGGGATTGGTCGCTCTCCATTCAAGTACACACCAGCCAGGCGTGCCCTTCAGCTGTGGTCGCTGCTAGTCTGGCGATGTTCATTGTTTGGAGTCCTCAAAGGGTGTCTGTCTTAGTGAGGGACCCAAACCCAGGGGACATCCCGCCAGCCCTAGCTCCTCCTCTGCTTCCCACGCGCTCCTCAGGGGCAGGTATGAAGTGGCTGGTGCCTTCAGCAGGAATCCCTCCCCCCAGCGTCACATTCAATCACACCAGCCACAGATCTCCAGTTCAATGTATCAGTTTACACTTGGTAGTTGAGTAAACAAAGAAAGCATATGTCACATTTTCGCGACAGATGGTTCAATCCAAGGGCTACTTAAGTTTATTTCTCTAGCGATAGTCAGAAGTTTTGCAGTGTGGACCACCGCAGGGAGATGTAATTGAGTCTTCCAATCAGTGTGTCTGCTGACGGAAGCTTATTATTTCCATATTTTCACACCAGGGCAAAAATGCCAGGGAGGTGAGAAGAATTATCTGAAGACTTCCATGGACGCTCAAAACATAAAGTCCTTTTCCCTTGTCCTATTTCAAAAGTATATGGGAAGGTCTTTCTCTGTCAAGTCATAGCTTGTCTTTGGGGACCACTTGTGGCGGCTGAAGAACATTTGAGTTTCATCTAAGACATCAACTATGTCTTTCCCAAATAGTCTTGGTTGTTCTACTTACTCTACGCAAGTTTTAAAATTCTACTTTTAACAGAAAGGAAGACTGGTCTAAAAGTTCCCACAATGTAGGACAGTGGACTCCTTTGAAAATAGTTAGGGCTTCAAGAATATCTCAGGATCCTTCCTCGCTCTATCCTTTAATAAATGATAAATATTGACATGATAAAATAGACCTTTGGGAAAGGCTTGGAGGGGATTATTAATTTTATTTTTATTTTGTGTGTGTGCATTCCCAGCCATGAGTGCCAGAAGAGGGCATCAGATTCCCCAGAGCTGGAAAGTTACAGCTTGGGGTAGGTAAGTCTCAACATGGACGCTGGGAATCAGACTCAAGTTTTCTGCAAGCGCACCAAGCACTTAACGGCTGAGCCATAGCTCCAGCTCTTTATTTAAAATAATTAACAATAACAGTAACAACAGATACCACTAGTTGCTACAACTATGTTGGTCAGCACCCAGACTACCAGTACCAACGTTAGTGCCATGAGTTTAATTAAAATGAAACATAAGGTAAGTATGGTCAGTTCTCAGTAGTACTATTCAATGGGCACACGTGGCAGGGGTTACTGTATCTGATAGCACAAAAGACTTCCATAATCACAGAAGGATCTAGTGGGCAGCACGGTCAGCTGATTTTGCTGTCAAATTAGTGAATATGGCTTCTATGTAGAACAACAGCTTGGTATAGGAATCCACTGAGTGTTTTATAAGCTGTGGCACAGTGAGTTGTGAGGGTGGTGGTGACAGTGGTGACGGTGGTGGTGATAATGGTGGTGATTATGATGGCAATGGTGATTATGGTGATGGTGATGATGATTATGATGGTGATGGTGGTGATGATGATGGTGGTGGTGGTTATGGTGGTGATGGTGATGGTGGTGGTGGTGGTGATAATGGTGGTGATTATGATGGCAATGGTGATTATGGTGATGGTGGTGGTGATGGTGATGGTGGTGGTGATGGTGGTGGTGATAGTGATGGTGGTGATGGTGATGGTGATTATGGTGATGGTGGTGGTGATGGTGATGGTGGTGATGGTGATGGTTATGGTGGTGATGGTGATGGTGGTGGTGGTGTTTTCCTTTTCTCCTGAGGAAGCTGAAGAAGTCTACAAAGATGCAGCCAGTTCCTGGTATGTTCTCCACACAGGATGAGGGTGGAGGTGATGAAGCAGTGGAGAAGAATGGCCATGGCAAATTCCATTCTACAAGAAGAGCTTTAGTCAGAAAGATGTAGTTCAAATTCTAGCTTGAGACCCCTCCCAGAAGGAACCAATAGGGAAAACCACAGCCTTACTATGTGCTTACTAACGTTCAAGGTGAGAGAGATGCATGGCCTGGAAGCCTTGGAATGCGGACAAAAGAAAGCGCTGTGACATGTTCTATTAACACTGCTTCCTTGGAGCTTATCTGTTCCCATGTGCATGGGACATCTCTGGATGAAAGGTGACATTGAAATACCAAATATTAATCATTATAAAGGTTCACGCAATCCTCTGTGACATGTTTTCTTAGTAGAAAATTAGCTTTAATGCTACAAAATTAGGTTCAATCCACCCGTGAGCATGCGAAGTGAGCAATCTTCCCGTGTTTCTTGATGGAAGTGTATTTTTGTAAGTTAACAGATGAGTCACGATGAAAGTGGCAGTTTTATCTCATATGGCATTTTGCCTCTTACTCTCGTTGCTGTTGTCCCATGGAATATAACGTAAAATGTATCCATCCCCTAAAATTACACTGCTCAAGTCATTCAAGTTTTTTTTTTCTCCATTCAAATTTCTTCATCATCTGCCCTTAGACAATTTGATAGACTTCCCTCCGCAGCCACAGAGAGCACTCTTCACATGGGCCGTGCGTGTGCCTGTTCCTTTCATGTTTACTGGGATTTCCTGATCTGGCCTCCTCTTCCATTCGCCTATGAAATGGTACATCTAACGTTGGGAGGCTCAGCCTAGCTGGACAGTCCAGACTCCTTGTATGAACTAACAGTTCCATGCCAGGTCCTCCACAACCCCCGTGGAATCTCTATTATGTCTGTGCTGACAACGGTCTCATAGTCAGGTGCCCTCTCTCTCTCCTTGGCTGGGCTGTGAGCTCATAGAAGGCAAGGGAGTATTCTCGACCTTACGTCTGCATCCCCAGCATTTAGACTCATGGCTGACACACACTCATTCCCAATGAATGCGCATTGATTGCATGAATAATGCCTGGTGCTGCTCCTCATTTCCCTCTGACACCATAATTTTACAGAAAGATTTACATGAAAATCCCTTTACTGTATGAACAATACCAAATGGAAGTACCTCATACGATTACTGGCATTACAGTTCCAATAATAGTATCAGATATGTATTATTCCTTTAGGGATTTGACATTTAAATTTTTTTTTAAACAAAAACCATTATTATAATAGAACACTCTTTTTTTCCTGCTTCACTTTAATAGTAAAATATGACATATTTCATTTCTGGGAAATGATAGCTTGCCTTAGGTCATATTTTAAGGCATAAAGCCAGAAGCAGAGTAGCGTTCCCACCTGAAGTTCCCTCATCATCTAGAAATGTACCTCTCTCTGGGAGAAGAGCCAAGGCACAGCCACCCTGGAGCCTTCATCTTCAAAGGCAAATTTTTAAAAGCCAAATTGGCTCAGAATTATTTTTAAAGAAACAACTCTATGAACACAACTGCAAGCCCTCTTGCGGTCTTTTAGGGAAAACGAGCAAATGGTCATCATCCAAGAAAGGAAGCTGGCTAGGGATCTCCACGCTGGAGAGAGAACTCTCACCTCCACGCCGCTCTTTGACCCTCGCCCTTTGGTGGTACAGGAAGAGGCAAGCGCTCTCAGATCTCAGAGACCTTTCCAGGAGGAATAGATAAGGATGTGTCTTTTGAACATTATTTGCAAATGGAAGTTTCTTATAGGCTGTCAGGGCGCCTGACCCCTAGGAACCCATCGCAGGACATCTTCCTCCCTCCTCCGTTTTCAGGTAATTTTCATTTCCTAGTACTAATAAGTCAGTGGCCAGGGTTTTAATGCATTTATGGAAGAATATTCCTGAGAGTTGAAGTCATTTGTGCTTTGGCCTTCTGCCACAAAGTGCATACGGTGCGCAGCCCTGATGAAATAAAGTGCCTGTCATGTCTTATTGCTTCAATATATGGCAAAATATACCCCCTCTTCAGAGGACTTGCAAGGGTTTTTTTCTTGTGATTGCCAAAGGTGTTGGATTAAAAGCCCTGTGAAATCCAGTCCTCTTTATCAAGCCAGGGTGTGAATGCCTGCTGGCAGGGGACACCCCCTCTCAGTCCTGCTTTCCTCAGCACCCCAAATCTGGCTCCAATGGGAGTACGGCTTCAGAAGGGCAAGCGTGAAGCTTAATCCCCAGCTTTGTCCAGTATTTAGCCCGTCTCTGTCTCTGGA